GTATGAAGGTGGCAGGATGGGGTGGAGAGTCTATTTATACTTCACTCTTTGGGGTGCTGGCCTTATGGGGGAAATCCAAGTTAACTCCCCACCATATGTTTAGGGATCCCTCACAAACCAGTGGTCACATTCATCAGGTAAAATGAAAACCAACTACCGAGTCTTGCTTACTTTGTGGCTTCCTGCAGTCACATATTTGGGGGGGTGCCTGAATATTTCTTATGTGTTTGCCAGCTCATGGATGCATTTATTTTTATTTTTTATTTTTATAAATATAGATTGTATCTATGTATCATTTTATTGTATGCTTAATAGGGACTTTTCAATAGACTTTTTTTTAAAGATTTATTTATACAAGAACGAAATCTTTTTTAAAGATTTATTTATTTATACAGAGATGCGGGAGGGTGAGAGAATTCACCAGAGAGAGCAGGGAGCAGAACAGGCAGACAGACCGAAGAAGCCGCTGAGGGGAGCAGCGGGCGAGGCAGGAGAGGTCTGCTGTGCCATGTGGGAATCTCCCTGGCTGGCTGGGAATTGAACCCGCGCTGCAGAGGCTGCGGACAGCTTCACAGTGCAGCGCTCAGCCTGCTGAGCCACCGGGGAAGGCCCTGATGCATTTACTTTTAAAAGCACATTTTTTTTTCAGTCTTCTTCATAGACCTGTCTCTCTCCTACCTATTCCTGAAGTGTTGGTTCTCCATGCCCCAGCCTCTGCTTCTCATCTTATCCCTCAGAATCTCACCACTTTGGCTTTGCGCTGTGACTCCTAGATCTCTCACCCAGACTGTCCTGAGTTCCAGCTGCCACCAGCCTCCCCTGCCCTCTGAAGGTGTCACAGGCACCTCAAGTTGAACATGGAAAAAACCAGACTCATGACCAGTAAAGGCCCTTTGTCCCTCCTCCACCTATTTTAAAATGCAAAAATAAATGCATCCATGAGCTGGCAAACATGTAAAAAATATTCAGGCCCCCCCCCCAAAAAAATGTGACTGCAGGAAGCCAGAAAGATTTCATTTTCCAGAATAAATAAATAAATAAAAAGATTTCATTTTCCGAGGCTCAGTGCATGTGCCATCTCCTCCACAGACTTTCCTGGCTCTGCCTTTCCAACCAGGTAAAACTGATTTCTCCCCTTTTGTGAGAGTGGGATCCTCCCTTACCCTGACACGCAGAACCACCCCAGGCATACTTCTAATGGAAGACTTCTGACGGTTGATTGCATTATTTTTCTTTGTTTACCCCACCTCGATTTGCCAAAAAAAAAAAGAACATCCAATTAAATCTGAATATCAGATCAAAAACAACAAAAATGTTATTCTTTTTAAATTGAGGTAATGTTTGTTTGTATAATTGTTTGTATTCTGAACAAAAATATTTTAATTATGTCCCAGTTATTACATGAGACATACTTACTAAAAAGAAGGATTGTTATCTGAAATTCAAATTAAATTGTCTGTCCTGTGTTTTTATTAGCTCAATCTGACATCCTGCCCCACCCCCAAGGTAGTTAGTGGTAGGTAGTGCCCAGTCACTGTTAAGAGAGTAGTGATTTCTCTGGCTGCAGGGTTGAAAATGACTGGAAGAAGTTGAGACTGGAGACAAAGACAACGGTTGGGAGGATGAGCAATAAATCATTCCAGAAATCATGAAGGCTTCAAGAGGATAGCAGGAAATAGAGAAAGGGGTGGTCCTGCAAGCTCCAAGTGTTTGAGGATAAATGGATGAAATAAGTGACCGAGCTCAAGGCGTCTAGGATGCTGCCCGCATTTCTAGCTTGTGTCACAGGATGCAGGTTGGTGCCATTTACTCGGGAGGAAACACTGAAGGTGTGGAAACTGGAGAGCAGGGAATCTACTTGATTCCGAGAGTAGAGAGTGGGTCTGAAGGAGAAAATAAATGTATCCAGGGCAGATATGTTAAGTTTGGGTTTTGAAGCATATACAGATCGAAGTGATAGAAGTACAGATTTGGAGCTTAGGAGAAAGGTCTAGGCCAGACATAAAATGTGTATGTCATCAGCATGGCGGTGGTACCTTGGAAGGAGATAATGTTGCTCTGGTTGAAGGTAGAACTGGAAGAGAAGACAGCCTGTAGCTGAGCCCCAGAGATGCTTAAGAAGCAAAGAGAGGAAAAGGAACACAAAAGTAGCCTGAGAATGAGCAGCTGGAGGGGTGGAAGAAACACCAAGACAGCGTGGGATCCAATCAAGGGCTGGGCAGGTTTCCAAGGAGGCTTGACAACGTTGAGGACTTCTGGGAGCTCAGCGGATTAAAGGTTGAGAAGTAGCCTTTTTTTTTTTTTTTTTTTAAAGAGGCATGTATTTTTATTTATTTATTTGTTTGTTTGTTTGTACATGCACTGGGTACAGTCAGAAGCGCGGGAGGGTGAGAGAATTCACCAGAGCCAGAGCGGGGAGCAGAGCAGGCAGAAGGACCAAAGTACACTGCTGAGGGGAGCAGCGGGCGGCAGGAGAGGTCTGCGCGCCATGTGGGACCCTCCTCCGGATGGCCGGGGAGCAGCCGGGGATCGAACCGGCGCCGCAGAGGCCGCGGGCAGTTTCGCAACCCAGCGCTCAACCGCTGCGCCACCGGGGAGGCCCGAGAAGTAGCCTTTGACTTAGTAACGAGGAGGCCACTAGTGACCTCAGCAAGAACTCTCTTAGTGAAGCAGAGATGCATGTATTGGCGACTGCAGTGTCTATGTTTTTAATGATGTTATATATTTGCGCAAATGTAAATGCAGAGGGCAAAGGTTGAAGAACGGGAGGCATGTGAACAATGGAGGCAGGGAACCCTCCTGATTCGGAACCCTGAGTGCAGATGGAGGAGTCAGCTAGTCATGGGGGACATTACTAATAGTGTGGAGAACAGAGCATCATACTTGAAGCCATGGCTCCTCGAGCATCTCTGAATGAGCTTCAGGAAGACTGTGGACTCCCTTAAGCTGTTTACCAGATTTATATTTCAGTGGATTTTGTAGGATATTCTTTGGGGTGTGGGGAGAGGATCCTTGGCTTTTATCAGATTCTCTTGAGGACTCTAAAGCTCCAAAACAGAACAGCTTCTGTGAAGGAGATCTCACATGGCCTGAGATCTTTGATCTAGAACTTTGATCTCTTGGCTTCCTCTCCTTTTCAAGATGAGCACTCCGTTGGTCAGCCAGTCCACACACACTGTGCTGCAGGGTGCCCAGCCGGGGAGATCAGAAGCCCTGGACTAGAGATGAGGAAGGCGAGCACATGGAACCCTGCACTGTGATTGCTGGCTGAAGCAAATTGAGAGGAAAGTATTGGGAATTCACTGAGCCATCTTCAAAGCTACCTGAGTTTTTTCTATCTTGTAAGATGTAATACCCTTTTGGAGGAGACCAGCCCTTAGTTCTGAGACCACTCAGTACAGTTTAGCAAATTGATGATTACAGTAAAAATGGACGGACCAGAGCCACCTGTGGCCCCAGGAGCTCCAGTGCTCTGCCCAGTGGGGTCACAGCATTTACCTCTGCAGAACAGTAGGCAGAGAAGCGAAGCTGTGCACCTTGTTTCCTTTGGGGGGAAATAGCTTTATTATTGTTATTTTTAAAATAGGAATTTGGGTTGTCTTAAACGGCAACCTGAAGCCAATTCCTATAGGAAGCTGTTTCTCTTGGAGAAGTGGCTGTGAGATGAGGTTGGGTGCAGTCTCTCCAGAATGCAGCCTTGAGTTGGGGGTGCAGGCTCCTCCCTCCAGTACTGGCAATTTGGGGAGTGTTGAGAGCCAGCACTTTAGCTCAGGCTCCTATCTGGTCCTCTCGCTGTGAGCACTGTCAGGGATGACTTCCACCCATCTCCTTTAAGTGGTCCTGAGAGCAGAGGTATTTACGGGGAGGCTGGACTTGGAGGATTTGGGAACTTGGCCAAGCTTCCAGTTCTTCTTCTTCTTTTTAAGATTTATTTTATTTATTTATGCATACAAGAGCTGGGGTACAGGCCAGAGGTGTGTGGGGGGTGAGAGGATTCACCAGAGACAGAGTAGGGAACAGAACAGGCAGACTGACTGAAATACACTGCTGAGGGGAGCAGTGGGCAAGACAGGAGAGGTCTGCTGCGCCTTGTGGGTCAGCTCCCTGGCCGGGGATCAAACTTGTGCTGTGTAGTGGCATGTGGTGGCTGCTGATGGCTTCATAGTGCTGACACTAATCCCTTGCGCCACCAGGATACCCCAGGCTTCCAGTTCTTTCCAGCAGGAGGCTTCTCGGCCCCAGTGACTGAACCTCTACCCTCAACCATGGCCAGGGCCTAGGCCTTCATGTAGTGTGTACAAACTGTATGACATTGGTGCTGTTTTCTTTAGAGAGAGGGAGGGAGAGAAGTTGGAGACTAAAGATCCTGAGTTGGTTTGGGGCCAGAAAGAGGGCCTAAGGGGGTGCTTGAGATCAGCACAAGAGCACCAAAGTTTTGGGAGCACCTAGAACTCCTTCTTGACTGAGAATGAGCACAGCTTTCCGAAAACTCTTGTCAACTTCACCCTCTAGCCTGGGCCAAGGACGATCTTTGCCAAAGCAGGTAGACACATGGACAATCTAGAAGGAATTTCGATGAGATGCCCAAGGGATCCTACCCTGAACCTGCCTTGTTCTTGTGCACCCCTGGCTAGGGCTTCTGCCCCTGTGCTCACAAATGCCAAGTCCAGTTGCCCAGCACTCTCTCCTCAGCTCCAGGCCATGGTGTCCCACTGCCTCCTGACAGCCCCTCTCAGTGTACTACGGTTCCTCAGACTCCGTCTCCTCTCCAAATATACCTTTTTCCAAAGAAGAAAATCATACAAAACAAATCCATAGGGCTGAGGAGACAGTTTCCCAGGACATGTAGAAGGCTCAGGAGGGTTGCAGTGACTCTTTGGAGATGACTCAGGGACAGTCCTAACCTCTCCTCCCTGCCAGAAGAAAGTACCTCTTAGATTCTTGTCACTTTTTCATACTATTTGCCAAATTGAATTTAAATATTTATGTAATGATTTATTTATTGTGTATCTCATGGTTTAAGCTTAAGGGCAGGGGTTGTGTCCCTTTCACTCTATCTCTGGTGTCTCCACAATCTCTGACATGTAATAGATGCTTAATAAATGTGTGTTGAATGAATACATGAGTATCTTTGTTTATCACCAAAGATGCAGATCCCTCTGGGGACCCTCAGTCCATTCCTGCCATCTTATTCCCATGATGTTCTGTGCTTCATCCCCCAGGTCAGCCTCCCACTGCACCATCTTCCCCATCCTCAGCCTTCTCAAATGTTCTCTTGGCCTGGATGGCTTCGTGGAATATGGGGGCCGAGGTCCACATGCTGGACCCTTCAGTACAGGCAGAACAGGCAGTATATGCACCTGTCGGGGGTCCTGGAGAGCAGGTCACTGATTAGTGACATTGGGATGGGGCAATGTGTGGCTCTCCATGCCTTTACCAACAACGCCAGGCCCCAGGGATGCCTGAAGTCACAAGGGTAGGTAGACTTTCTCCACTGGTCACCCAGGGCCCCAGTGCTGGTGACTGTACAGGAGACTGAGACCTGGTCTGCAAGGACTGGTGGGTGTACCTTTGCCCCCCACTCCATCTGTGTTCCACACCCCTGAGCTGCTGGATGGGGTCAAGCAGTTGGAGATCCAGAACAGGCCCTTGACTGCTGAGTCACCTGAGGCTGTGAGCGGCATTGTCAGGGCAGGATCCCCCTGCAGCTTCTTCTACCCTTCTAGCCCCCGCTGCTCAGGAAAGAAGCTGACAAGCCACAGAAGTAAATAAATAACTTAGAAATAATAAATAGGGGTCCAGCTTCCAGGAGGGAGTACAAGGTGCGCTCCAGCACAAGGCACTTCGGCAGGGTAAATGCAATGTCTCCTCCAAATTCTGTCCCCCCAGGGTCTGGGCTGACGCTGAGACTTCAGAGCTGCCGGGTTGTCTCGGAGGCCTGGGTCCGCGACCTGGTCTGTGCCAGAACCTGGGAGAAGTGCATCCTATGGTCTCCACCGCCGAGGGCGCGAGTCTGTAGGCCTGGGACTCGCAGGGCGAGGGCCAGGGCGGCCGCCGGCTGGTGCTTCCCTCCATCTCTCCAGAGCTGGTGTCCGTCACTCACCGGGCGGCCGGGGCCTCCATCTCTGGCTGAGGCCCCAGGCGCATTCCTGGCGGGCAGCACCGCGGGTAGGGTCCAGTCTGCAGGGCCTCGGGGAGCGCTCTCAGCCCAGGCAGCCGCAGGCGGTGGCGGAGAGGCGGTCCACAGTCCTCCAGGTGCTGTTGACGTCCATGAAGGAGACCGCCTCGTAGCGCGTGGGGCGGCAGCAGGGCTGGCTGACCGGCCGGGCGCCGGGGGGCAGCGGCAGGACCCCGGCGTCCAGCAGGCGGGCCAGGCTGAGGTCGTGCGAGGTGCGCGCGCGGCGGCAGGAGCCGCTGCAGAAGCGGAAGCGCACCAGCTCCTCGGAGCGGTGGCCCAGGCCGAGCGCGCTCACCGGCACCAGCTGAGCGTGCAGGCTGCAGCCCCGCGCCCCCGTCCCCGCGGTCCGAGCGCGGCTCCCCGCGCCGGCGCGGCCCCCCCGGCCCCCCGCGCGCGCCGCGCGGCCCCCACGGGGCGAGGCGGGAGAGGGCGCGGGCGGCGGGGGCGCGGGTCGCGGAGGCTGGGGCGCCGGGCGCCGGGCTCTTCCGCCGCACGGACGGGCGGCGCGGCCCCCTGGAAGGAGACGGCGTCACAGAGGGGGCCGGGGCCAGGCCCGGCTTCCCCTTCGCCGGGTCACTTACCGGGCAGGTGGCCGGCGGGGGGCGCCCGGGTGGGCGCGGGGCCTTCGCGGGTGGCCGGGCTGCGGGGCGCGGGGCCCAGGGAGGCCTCAGCGATGCTGCTCAGCAGGGCCAGAGCGACCAGGGTGGGCCACAGCGCGGGCTGCGGGGAGGCGGAGGGAGCCTCAGGGAGGAAGAGGGCGCCGGTGGGCTCAGGGTGCGGGAGATCAGAGAGAGGATGGGCTTCCAGCTGGGCGGGGGCAGCTCAGGAGGGCTGAGGCGGAGGGCTGGCAGCTCAGGAAGGGCTGAGGCGGGAGGGCTGGGAGCTCAGGAAGGCTGAGGCGGGAGGGCTGGGAGCTCAGGAGGGCTGAGGCAGGAGGGCTGGCAGCTCAGGAGGGCTGGGAGCTCAGGAGGGCTGGGAGCTCAGGAAGGCTGAGGCGGGAGGGCTGGGAGCTCAGGAGGGCTGAGGCGGGAGGGCTGGGAGCTCAGGAAGGGCTGAGGCGGGAGGGCTGGCAGCTCAGGAAGGGCTGAGGCGGGAGGGCTGGCAGCTCAGGAAGGGCTGAGGCGGGAGGGCTGGGAGCTCAGGAAGGGCTGAGGCGGGAGGGCTGGGAGCTCAGGAAGGCTGAGGCGGGAGGGCTGGGAGCTCAGGAGGGCTGAGGCAGGAGGGCTGGCAGCTCAGGAGGGCTGAGGCGGGAGGGCTGGCAGCTCAGGAGGGCTGGGAGCTCAGGAGGGCTGGGAGCTCAGGAGGGCTGAGGCGGGAGGGCTGGGAGCTCAGGAGGGCTGAGGCGGGAGGGCTGGGAGCTCAGGAAGGCTGAGGCGGAGGGCTGGGAGCTCAGGAAGGGCTGAGGCGGGAGGGCTGGGAGCTCAGGAAGGGCTGAGGCGGGAGGGCTGGGAGCTCAGGAAGGGCTGAGGAGGGAGGGCTGGGAGCTCAGGAAGGGCTGAGGCGGGAGGGCTGGGAGCTCAGGAAGGCTGAGGCAGGAGGCTCAGACCTGATGGACCTGATTTTGCAGCCTCAGTAAGTGGAGGGGAGAGATCCCCTGAGGACAATGACCTTCCGCCTGGACAAGGGCTCCGGGTCCGCCCAGACCATTTCCCCCTCCCACTTCCAACCCTGATCAGGCCAAGCGGTCCAAGCCCTCTTTCCTCAATACCAGGTGGGAGACACCGCAAGAACCACTCACCTGCCGCCTATGTCGGCGCCCGTGGGGCAGCACAGAAGGGCCTCCAGGGCCAGGCTCCATCTCTGTCAACACCAGGAGCTCCCATCAAGGGCTGTTGATGTGTTCCCCCACCCTTCTCTCGAGGCCACTTAGAACATTGAGAGATGCGTTGAGCAAATCATCTCTCCAGTGTGGTTCCTCCAGGCGGGAAACAAGTTTTGTGTCTTGGATAGCTACACCCCCGGGAGGAAGCTGTCTCACTGCCTTGCACCTGTTCCCTCTTTCCGTCCTCATGACTCCGGGGAGTAAATGGTATAGCCCCCCTTTCGAGATGAGCAGACCAGGCTGAGGGAAGCTCAGTGACGGTCTATAGTCACAAGGCCAGACCCACACGATCTGGGGCAGGGGGAGGTGCTGGAGGGGTTGTCTCTTTTCCCAGGACCTTCCTGCTCTGTGCTAAAGGGCTGGAGCTGCCAGGACTGGCTGCAGAAGGGGGCAGTTGGACACAGGTGTGGTCTGGGGAAGATTTAGGGTGCTTGCTGGTTGACCTGAGAGTTGTCTGGTGACAGTGAGGCCCAGGTTTCATCCTGCTGCACCCTGTTCTCCAGTGTTCTCTCTAGATGTCTCTCCAGAGCCAGCATTTGGTGGGGGTTGAGAACTTGGGCCCTGGGCCATGGCTTCCTATGGCCGCCAGGGGGCAGCATCCGATAAGTGTGCAGACTCAAAGAGCGGGTGGGCTTTTCCCTACCCTAAGCCAGACTCAGGCCTGTGCATCAACCAGGAGGGTGGGCCTCCACACCAGCCTGGTCTATAGAAGCTGAGCCATCCTGCACTGGTCCAGGCCTGACCCCCTTGTTGCCTGGCATCCTAGCCCTGTGCGTAGAAGTTTTCCCCGTAAACCATCATTCCAGAACCCAGGCAGCCTTTCTGAGCCCCATCAGACTTGGTGATCCCATCTTGGTTGGCACTCCCAAACACCCTCTGGGTCCTTCGATCCCTCCTCCTCCCCCAGCCCTCATGAGCTCTCACTAACTGGCCTGCTCTTGGGTGCCAGCTGTTACCTCTGTCCCACCGAGCAACGCACAGAACGCTTGCATACCAGTAGGCCAGACCTCCTTAGGACAACTTGGTGTGGTCAGCCAAGGCCAGATGTGCCTGATACGCTCAGCTAACTGCGTAGGAGGACCGAGGGGCCAGGCTAGTGACTCTTCTCAAGGATGGAGAGAAGGCTGGACTAGGTAGCCTTAAGGCCCCCTGCACTAGGGGGAGCCCAGGAGCAGGGCCCTCCAGGGCAGCTCAGGCCCCATCTCCCCTCCTGGCAGGCAGTCTAGGCAGCCCCATCTCCCCACCCATGCGCCAGTCCACTACTCACCACAGGGGTCCAGAGCTCTGTCCTAGGCACCTTTCCTGGGACCAGTGCTGGGCTCCCGCGCCACTCAAAAGGTTCATGCCCAGAGCTGTGCACCTGGTGGCACCTCTTTAGCCAAAAGCCTGGCCTTGGCAGCCAGTCTGCACCCTGCAGTGGCAGCAGCAGCCTCACGTTACACTGGGCCAGCAGGGCTCTGCAGTCCGATAAGCAACAAGAGGGACTGAGGGGGCTGGGAGGGGCGGAGAGCTGAGCAGCGGGCCCAGGAGAGGGAGGATGTGATGAAGGAGGGGAGGGGGGGGCCATCCTGTGTACTCCCCGTCGCCCCGGGACTGGGGCGGGGTGGGCAAAAGGGTCCGCTTACCGAGGGTGCGGGGCTCTGGGTCCTGGATGCAGCAAGGACTGGGGCCCGAGGGACCTGCTGCTGGCCGAGCCCGTGGGCCGCGTCTGGGGGCCGGGCCCAACTCCATCCCTCAGCAGCCTCATGCCAGCGCCGTCCGGTGTCAAATTCCAGCCCCCGCGTCACCGGATCCTGGGGTGGGGCCCCGAGCGCCCCCGCCCCGCCCCACCTTTCAGGGCTCACCTGGCTGCTCCACCCGCCAGGATCCCGTACCCCCTGCCTTGGCTAGGTCCCCCAAGGTAGGGTAGGGAGGAGTCACTGGGAAGGAACCCCGGGACACGGAATAGAGAACCGGGGCAGAGAGGCGAGGAAACTAGGCGTTCAGTCTGTAGACACTCCAAGTAGGGAGTTGGGAGGCTGGGCTGAGGGCGGGAGAGGGAGGCTGGGGAGGGAGGGGAAAGGCCAGTCCCTGGCTCGGGCTGCCGGCCCCCCGGGCTCCAGCCGTCTTCAGGGTCGGCCGGCGGCCCTGCAGGGACTGCTCTCTGCTCCGCCACTAGTTTCTCCTCTCGACAGACCCGTCGAACTCAGATCCATCAGGCTCTGCGCTGGGGCTTTCAAGGTCTGAGCCTCCGCTGGCCGTCCGCGCTCCCCTCCGCCAGGCCTAGGGCAGAGACTCCCCTGCAAACACCACCGCTCACCCTGCCCAGCACCCTGAGGGCAGTGCTGGTAGGAGTGGGTGCTGAGAGCTGATGCAGGGGAAGACGGGGAGGGTCACAGAGCAGGAACATTTGCTCTGATCTTGAGGTCAGAGCAGGAGGCTGTATTTCTGATGCCTACTTTCTGGCAGTTGGGCAGGTGGGATGGCGGGTGGGTGGGTGACAGGGATAGAGGGACGGAAAGGTCGGATCCTTGTGTCATACTAGTAAGTCTGTGCTTCATCCCAAAGACACAGGGCCCGCTGAGGCGTTTCAGGCAGGGGGGTGGTGTGATGGTGTGATGGCATGATGGCATTCGGGCACTCACTCTGGCTGCAGTAGCGAGGTGTGGGCAGGACCGGGGTGGCCAGGGGGCTGCTGTGGGGAGGGGTTGTGGGGCATGCATGGGGCTACACGGGCTCTTCCAGGACTACACCTTTGTGAAAACTCAGTAGATGCCTGATTGGGGGGGGGTGAGCAGGTGGGGTGGACGACGGCGTGTCTGGCCCGCGCGCCCCGGTGGAGGGGACGCTTTCTGGGAGCTGGGCCTCTCTGTCGGGGTAGGAGTTCATGAGGTCATTGTTGGGCATGTTGAGTGGGAAGTGCTGTGGCTAATGCTGGTGGAAATGTTCAGGAAGCAATTGACTTGTAGCCTGGAGCTAAGTGGAGAGAGCTGGGCTGGAGATGGCAATTTGGGAATTATCCACCAGTTGACAGTTGGGAGCCGTGGGTGGGGTGAGTGCTCAGGGAACGTGTGTGGACCAGCTAATCCCTGGCTGTGCATCACAGCCACCTGTGGACCTTTTAAAACCACCCACAACCCGGCCCCACCCCAGACCTGAAGCACAATCTAGGGGTGGGCATGTGCAGTTTCTGAATCTGCACAGGTGATTCTGGTAGACAGCCAGGGCTGAGAACCACAGCTTTGGGCAAGCAGGTCCCTGCAGTTGTGTGTGTGTGTGTGTGTGTGTGTGCACATGTGCAGGGAAGTACTGGTGGTGGTGGAAGTTGTCCGCAGGCTTGACAGGGTCCCTGTGGGACAGGAGGCCAAGTAGCAAGCTGCTCTCCACCCTCTGTTGCCCCCACGACCACTGCCTAGTGAGGGTGGCTTCCCTGGCCTCGCAGCCTGTGCCTCTTATGGTCACTGCAGTGGGTGCCATTCCCTGGGCTGCAATGAGGAGCGGGGCACCAGGGCAGTCCTGCTTCAGAATCCCAGCGGAGCCCTTGAGTTACCTGGCCCTCAGTCAAGGCTGCGTTCCCCCCTCAGCTGAGAAGGCTTCCGCCCGAGGACACACTGCAGCAGTCGGGGGCAGGCGGGAAGCCAGTGGTCCTCGCGATGGCCAGGACTGTCCTACTGGCTCCCTAGTGGAGGGCCCAGGGCTGCTAGCACTCTGGGATTGGGACGGTAGGTGGGGCCGGGCAGCCCCACTTTCGGCCCGGTGGAGCTCTGGCAGGAAGCTCACTCTACTGGCTGCAGGTGCATTTGTGTTGGACCCATTCTCCGGCCTGTTGAGGTGCTGGGGAAAAGAGGGCTCAATTCCAGGGCTCTGAGGGGGTGAGTGGCAGGAGAGTCCTTTCTGAAGTCTGCCAGCTGGTGCCCAGAGCCGGGCTTGTGTGCTGAGGGTGGGGGCAGGGCTGTCCCCGCGAGGGCTGAGCCAGGAGTGGGGAAGGTCTGCGGGCCTGGGTCGGGAGCTTGGCGGTGACTTTCCCATGCTGGCAGGAATCTCTGGCCCTTGCCCAGCTGGGGCCATGCTGACGCGGGGACTGAGCTAGGGCTGTGGGCTTCAGTCCCCTACCCTCTGGCTCCTTTAAGAGGCACCAGGGTAAACTCAGGCACACTGCACACCACATCTGCCTCTGTGAAGGCAAAGTGATGCAAGGCTGCATGGGGCAGGACAGGCTCCAGAAGGTTCGTATGGCTACCCAGGCCTTGCCGTTGACTCTCATAAAAGAACCTAGGAATTTGTGGGCCAGGGAGATCGCCCTTGGGTGTAGCTGAGGCCCCAGACTACTGTTTCTTACAGGAAAGTCAGAGAAAGCAAGAGGAGGCCAGGTTCAGGGAAGAGCTTTATTGCTTCCATGATGGCTGCCCAGCCTGGGTAAGTGTCTTGAGCCTCACTTCCCTCAGGTCCAGGCTGAAGGCAGACCTGGCAATCTCACTCCTGAACCTCAGAGGAGCTGCCAAGTTGGTCAGCCTGGGCCTAGGGCATTGTCCTGTGGATCAGCTGCAGCTGGAGAGCGAGGCAGTTCCCACTGGGACAGGCCAGGCCTCCCCTCCTGATTCTGAAGTTCACTCTGCTCCAGCCCAGGGGCCATCTTATTGACTTAAAGAATGGCTGCAGAGTTCCCCTGTGGGGCAGCTAGGGACCGCTGAGTGGGAATACCTCATCATCTCTCCAAGAAAGATCAAGAGTGTCATGAGCGGGCAGGGCCTGTTGTGAGATCCTGCCCCCTCCCTGTAGCCCGGAGTAGGGTACAGGCTAATCCTGGCACCTCCACCCCACGGGGAGACCACTGGAACCACTGCCTGATTGGCCTCGAGGGGGCCTCCTTCTGCGTGGCCAGTGGACCAATTGACATCTAGAACCTTATTTAAAAATAAATTATCCCTCCCCTCCCTCCCACCTCCCAATTCACAAAATGATAATACACCAAACACTGATTGCAGAAATGATTTTGGCAGCAGCCTTACTGCCAAGCGTCCCACCTCCTGCATGCTGGGCCTGCGGGGCACAGCCAGAGGCCTCCGGGCCCTCTGGCTTCAAGGGCCCGGCTGAGCGGGAGGCCCAATGCTGGTGCCTGAGCAGACACAGCTCTGGCTGCTCCCCAAGGCCTTGCCACCCCTGGGGTCACTTGGCACTGTCCTTCTCTGGGCCTGAAGATTCCCGTGCCTCTCAGGAGGAGCCAGGCCATGGTCAATGAAATGGCAGATGGTGGTGACTGCTGCTTGCTCCTGGTGGTGCCTGGACTCTGTGGCCGCGTGCTGGGCCCCCCTCAGATGCCACTGGTTAGATCAGTGATGACACGCGCTTTCACCAGCTTCCGCAGAAACTCTTTCTCTCGCTGAATATTGTGCGTCCAGGACTGGAAGGGGAGAGAGGGAGAAGCCGTCAGATGGGCAGCTGGGCCATTGCCCTGCTGCAAGCTTTAATGCACCTTCTCCCCGGGCTTCACAGGCACCTCCTGACCACCTCCCTTCGATGTTCTGTGACCATGGGAAATCAGACACTTGTTAGTTGTGCCAACAATGATGATGATGCTCTAGAAGTGCCTCGGCTCATCACCCTCCCTGCCCAGGATTTGGAGAAAGTAACTCTCTAGCCCCTTTCCCCATCCCAGAGGGACTGTGCCTCTTCGCTTCTTCCAAGTCTTAGGAGATGTAAGCTTTCCAGACTTGTTCCTACAGACTCCAGCTCCCCAACCCCCATGGGGCACCTAGGTCCTAGGCACCTGAGGACAGGCAATGTGAGTCACTGAGGTCCAGCCCCGGCCCAGGGTGGGGTGGCTTAGTCACACTCTGTCCTGATGCAATGCACTGTCAGGCCTGGGGCAGCTGATGAAACCCTGCCTTGCAGATCAGAGCCAGGGGCCTGAGGACAAGAGGCTAGTCTTACTATTTGGTAGAAATGACAGGGAAGATGCTGCCTTCCAGGGCTTTCCTGGGGAAGGCTGTGCCCAGGCCCAGCTTCTTTTCTATCCTAGTGCTCTCACCAGGAAGTGCTGATGACTAAGTCTTTCAGAGAATGAAAGAGGATCGAGAGAATGAAGGAAAGCCAACAGCCTTATCATAGTTTGTGTTCAACTGACATTTACCAGCGCTATTTACTGATGTAGAATTTTAGGGCTCTGTCAGCAACTTATCCTGATCTAGTCAACTCTTTCCAACCTTCCAAATCTTTTCTATCTGAAACTCAGGCAAAATTCCCTCTATTTCTATCCTCTGACCATTCCCTTCAACTTTTCATGCTAACCACAAACCTGGCTGCCCCTGGGGACTGTATCCCCCAGACACACACGCTCCCAGTGGCAACTCTAATCCCCCCGCCCGGCTCTTCCTCAGAGTACCCAGCCCCTAGAGGTGCCTCCCACCATTGCGGCACTACACAACTATCCCTGCAGGCTCTCTGGAACCTCCAGCTCCTTTGGGGTTCCTGTACTCAGACCCTGCCACCTGTGAACTGCCCCTCCCTCTTACAGACCCCCAGGTGATTTGCACTCATTCCTTCAAGAGTCAAGCATCTGGCTCACTGTCTCTTTGAAGTGTTAAAAAAATAAACAGGTCTGAAGAATTTTTTTGTAGTGCCTTTCCACTTGCTTTATTTAATAAAGCCAATTAGATCTTTAAAACTAACTTGGTTGGATTTTTATTTAACAGAAGGGGCTACCTATTTAATAGTAGGTGTTCCCCAACTTTACACTGAATGAAATTAGATTTTACAGGCAAGAAAATGAAGGTTTGGCTAAAGGCAAGCACCGGCTGGGTGGCTGTCACTGGAGGGACTCTCTGGCTCTCAAGAAATACTCCTCCTTTTCAGGTGAGTGATCTTGGTGGATCTCCATGGAGCTTATTCACTTGGGGAACAAATAAAACAGGACAAAAAAATGGAGGTTTGCAGGAACAGCAGGGCCAAGATTCAAGCAAATGTGGAAACTCATACAACTCTTTACTCCTCCCTCCTTCATCATCTCCAGGGAGAAATAACCAGTCTAAGGGGCCAGTTTCAGCAATGCCCACTGGCAGCCTCTGAGAATCAAAAGGACGGCAGGCGGCTGGCTATTTGATGACATTAAGGAATTACTGTTCATGTTTTTTGGTATGACAATAAAAACATAGCCCTTCTCGTTTAGAGAAACTTGTTGAAATGTTTATGGCTGGAATGATATGCTATCTGAGACTTGCTTCCAAATAAATCAGTGAGAAGGGAGAGCATGAGAGCATGAGAAGAAGAAGAGGAGCGACAACTAGCCACCTGTTGATAATTGGGGGTGGGGTGTCCCAGAAGTGGGAGTTCACTGTATTATTCACCATACTGATGAATATGTTTAGCAATTCTCATTAAAAAAAAAAAAAAAAAGAGTAAACAAAAAAAGCCAAACCTGGGAGGTAGCTCTCTCTCTGGTGCACTTTCCCTGATTCCTCCTCCCATGCAGACAGCATAGGTGCCTTCCAGAGCCCTCAGCACTCTGCTGTCCATGCTGGCTTCAGGCCGGGACCAGATTCTCATAGTCCTGGGCCCTGGTCTCACTGGAACCCGATTCTGGAGGGTTCCTACTTCTTCACCTTCTCATTAAGCAAGGGCACCCCCAGGTCTCCCTGGGAAATCTCCCCCATGTCTGCTTGCCCTGAATCAGCCAGCGGCTGTGCTCATAACTCCCAGCTCCCTTTGCCAGCACTCCCACGGGACCCTCCCCCCCCCCCCCCCCCCCGGCTGCCTGCCACTCAGTTCCTCTCCTCCCTTCCGTCTCAACTTCCCCACATGGCCTGGACTCCTGTTCACATATGAGCCCCTGGGTGCTGTGCCACCTTTCCTTTGACACCACTCTCACCAGGGGCAGTGGGGTCTCCTAACTGCTGCATCTCAGTCACTTCCCAGCCCTCACCTTACTCGACTCCTCTGAGGCACCTGAGGGGGAGACACTGTCTCCTTGAAATAGGGCTCCTTTGGGCTCCATGACCTGGAGTCTTCCTACTTCTTCTCTATTTTCACTTGTCTCCTTGCTGAATTCCTTTGACATCCCTTACATACCCCCTCCTCCTTGCATTCCATCCTTGCTCTATTGTCCTCGCAGCCCACACGCTTACACGCTCTCTCAGGGCCAGAGAAGATGCTGGTCAGTCAAGTGGAAGGGACACTCCACTTGAGGCCAGGGTGCTGAATGACTCACTTGCCTATTGAGGACACCAAGGTGACGGCAGGGATTCTAAACCCAGACACCAGCACTAACACCTATGAGTGCTTACTAGATGCTAGGCTTTAGCTCGAATCTTTCCCAATCTAGAAGGCATCATTACCCCTATCAGGGATAAGGAAAGGAAGGCACAGAGATTTGACTTCACACCTGTGCTCTTTAGCCCTCTGGATGGAGGCAGCACAGCACTTCCCATGAACCTCAGAGCCAAGAGCTTCTGCAGGACAAGGGGGGCAGTCGCTTGAAAATGGAGATAAGGCAGGTGGAGTCCTTCTACCTCATTCTTGCATGGAGGCAATCCCCAGGCTGTGTCCATTTAGAGTCCTGTTTCTTACCTGTCTTCCTAACATCACTGAACAATTCCGGTCCGCAGTCTTCCTCTCTCGCCTAGACTGCTGGGACAGCCTCCCAGGTAGCTTCTCTTCTTGCCTTGCTCCCTTCTCTTTCACACGGGGTCACAGTGACCCTACCACATGATACTCCCAGCCTAAAGTTCTCCTGTGGCTCCCTAGGGCCTTCAGAGTGAAGTTCAAGTCCCTTATGGCAGAGAAAACCCTTCATGATCTGGCTACTGTCTAGGTAGGACCTACAGTTTCTCACCCTCAGGCTCAAACTTCCACAAAGTTTACATACAAAAAACATAGGAGACTCAAGATATAAGTAAACAGAAGGCAGGTAAAAGCTACGAGTGCAGCCTGGAGGGGTTGCTGGGGGAGGGGGTGGGACCAAAGAGGCAAGAAGATACATGGGGAGTGGGGGGAGTGAAAAGCCCTACAGGATCCCAGTAATAAGGAGGGAGGCTGGGCCAGGTGGAGGGAGATGGACAATTCTGGAACTTTCCTAGACCTAGGATGATCTTCCCACGTCGGAACCTCATTCCAGGCAGCAGGAGGTCCAGCTGTAAGGCTGTTTCTGTGTTCCTTAGGGATCCCCAACTCTCTCTTATATCTTTGAACTAACTCCTAATCCCTAATTCCATGGTCTCGTGAATGAGCCAAAAAAGTGTAAAATAACACAGACGGTCACTGAAGTCATGGATGGGGATGCAGAGCTCCCGGAGAACACGTAGCGCGAGAAGAAGCTTGTCCAGACTGGAGGCTTAGCTAATGCTGATTCTTAAGGGGTGGGTTGAAATCAAGGACACGGAGAAAGAGAATGGCTAGTGCAAGAAGAGGAACACTGGGGTCACCGCCTCGGAAGTCTAAGTCAGAGGGTTTTGGAGAGGAAGAATGGGCAACATAGAAAGCGTTACTGAGAGATCAGGAAGGGGAGACTTATGTGTGTCCATTGGATCTGGCAGGCTTGAGGTAATCCCTGGGAGCTTGGTGGAATCATGTCAGGCAAAGGGAGGGTCAGGCTGTGAGGGATGAAGTGCCACGTGGGAGAAAGGAGTGCTGGGAGAGGGCCCAGCAGGCATGGAAGTTTTCTCACTAGAGAGAGGTGGGAGCTTTCAGGAAGTGGAAGGCTCTGGAACAGTGTGTGGGGTTAGTGAGGGCATATAAAAAGACGGCAAAGCAGGAATGAGGGCTAGCTGGGATCAGAACCCCTGCATTTATAGAACTATGACTCAGCACAGCTGGGTGAGCCACCCAGATGTAGGAGTGGAGAGGCTACTGAAAGCTCTAGTCCAGACTGCCAGGCGCCAGCAAGTGGCCGAAGCCAAGGTATTGTAAAAGGGCTTCAGGCCTCCCCATGGGCTCTGGGATATGAAGGGAGAGAAGTTGGGAGAATCTAAAATCTGGGGGGAACTTCAATGTCTCTTGAGCTTTAAGGGACCTGGATCTATGGACCACCTGAAAGCAACTGTGGGTGATAAAACGCCTCAGTGCTTGGCCACAGTGAAGGGCGGTAGAGGGGGTGTGCTGAGACTGAAAGGCAAAGTTTGCAGATTTTCTGAGGGGGCCAGGAAGTTCCCTGGGGAAAGGGAGCATTGTGGTAGAAAGGATGGTTCTGGGTTGGGGAGAGTGAGGAGGCAGGTACAGGGCCAGGGCCAGGGCAGGAAGAGCACGGGCCGTGGAGAAGGTCGAGAAGAAGGGGGCACCAGGTTCAGAGGCGCCCTGGGGAGAGAAGCACAGGGGCCGCTTGGTGGTGAGAACTGCAGGAGGCAGGGCCCTCCAATGACTCAGCTGAGAGTAGGGCAGGGCCTTCTTGGGGAGCTCTGGGCAGCCAGACCAGCCAGTGGCTCATCCCTTTAAATCCGGTTGTGCTCACTCAGCCAGAGCCTGTCCTGTGCCTGAAGCGCGCCCTCCCTCTGCCCAGCCCCGCACCTCTTTGATGGCGGCCATGCGCACGGTCTCGTAATAGTGCAGGGGTGCATTGGGTGTGCTCATGTCGTAGCCAAAGCCTGCAACTGCCACCTCATCACAGCCGTGTAGTGCCATGGTCACTGCCACACTGCCAAGGGTCGGGATATTCTGGAGGAGGGAGGGGGAAAGGGAGGGCTGAGTGAAGCTGAGACCCTTGCCTAAGCTTCCCAGAGCGCTCTTTCCAAGCCCTCTGCCCCCACCCTGCTGCCCTGGCCTTCCTTCCCCAGGCACTTCTGACCCAGGTACCCTCCCCCCTCTCCCAGGGCCTAGCTCTCTCACCCCTCGGCCCATGAGGCCATTGTTGAAAGGCAGTCCGATGAGGGTGAAGGCGGCCTCCTGGATGAAATATGGGTTGAGGATGCGAATCTCAGGGGGCTCCTTGGGCACTCGAGTGGCCACAGATTTCCAGAAGCCATCCGATGCACTCTGTGGACACAGCATAAGTGGGCATGAGCAGGGCACACAGCTTGTGATGGGACTGGGTGAGTGGCAGGGACCCAAAGTGTGTACAGGTGAATGGGGTGGGGGGCAGAAGGGGGGTGTGGTGGTACATGAGGCCTACATGTGGAATAAACACGGCAGGTGGACTTGTGTGTGGTGGGGACCACTGAGAATTTAGTGGGGCCACAGATTATAATAGAGGACACAAAAGGACACAAAGGGTGGGGGCCCAGGAAGTGGGACTGGAGTGTGCTGCTCCGGCCTGAGGGGGTTCTTAGGTCAGTCCGAAGATACAAAGACCCAGTTGCCTCTCCTCCCCTTTGAAAGCTACTGAAGGGCCCAGGAGGATCCTCTCTTTCTCTCCTATCTGCTCTGCTGGGCTTGCCTCCTTTCCTTTCTGCTCTCTCCTTGCTCTCTCAGTCAACTGTTCTAACGGGAACCTGAAAAATAAAGACAGAATGTGAGCTAGTAAAAATCCTACAATTCCTTACTGAGACATAGAAAAGGATGACTTTAAAGAAATGGGAGACAAACCATACTCTTGAAAGTGAAGGATGAATAACACAAAGCCAATCCTCCCCAGATTAACGCGGACCTTAGACGAAGAAAAATCCCAGTGGAATTGCTGAAATTTACCAAAAGGATTCTAAACACCCATCCAAAAGATTTAACAGATAAAAATAGCCCTCCAATAAAAATTATTAAAGTATACTATGAGGGCCTCCCCGGTGGCGCAGCGGTTGAGCGCTGGGTTGCGAGGCTGCCCTCAGCCTCTGCAGCGTCGGTTCGATCCCAGGCTGCTCCCCGGCCACCGGAGGAGGGTCCCACATGGCGCGCAGACCTCTCCTGCCGCCCGCTGCGCCCCTCAGCAGTGTACTTTGGTCCTTCTGCCTGCTCTGCTCCCCGCTCTGGCTCTGGTGAATTCTCTCACCCTCCCGCGCCTCTGACTGTACCCAGTGCATGTATAAATAAATAAATAAATAAATAAATAAATAAATAAATAAATAAATCTTTAAAAAAAAAAAGTATACTATGAATTTGCAATTAAACAGTGATAGATGTATAAGAATAAACACAAAGATCAATGAAATAAGAGCCTAGAAGCAGATCCCCATCCACCCATCCATCCACCCACCCATCCAGCCAGCCAGCTAGCCAGCCCCTCATCCATGCACCCATCCATCCACCCATTCACACATCCATCTTTCCAGTTATGCTGGAGGAAGCTTTACTGTCAATGGGAACAAGAAGTCTTTCTCAGCAAGTAACATTTAAAAGTTTGCTAATTAGAAAAAAAAGATCCATTTACTTTCTCTCCTCCCACCATCCACAAAATAACTAAATGCTAGAAAATACAACTCTGAAAATAAGTAAAAAAGAAAATTTAGCTGTATATTTTATCACTGAACTTCCTAACATTAACGCAAAATTAATGTTTGACTTTTTAACATTTTAAATGCTTTGCTACATCAAAAATATTAAAAAGCAAAAGAGAAAAAAATAAGTGGGAAAATTTTGTAACAAATAGTAAATATATACTTTTAAAAATGATGAAAAATCAATGAAATTCCATAAGAACGGGAAAAACAAAAAAGTTATGTAGACAAACAGGATTACATCAACTAAAAAAGGTTTTGTATCGTGAAAGAAACCTTATAAAAACAAAAAAGACAACCTACTGACTGGGAGAAGATATTTTGCACATCACATTTCTGACAAGGGATTAACTTCCAAAATATACAAGGAATCCATATAACTCAACAAAACAACCCAATTAAAAAACGGGCAAGAGACCCAAATAGGCACTGCTCCAAAGAAGACATGCGATGGCCTACAGGCACACAAAAAAATGTTTCAACATCATTTATAAGGGAAATGCAAATAAAACCACAATGAGATCTCACACCTGTAGGAAAGGCTCCTATCGAGGGAAACAAGTGTTGGTCAGAGTGTGGAGAAAAGGAACTCTCGTTCACTATTGGTGGGAATGTAAATTGCTTCAGCCTCTATGGAAAACAGCATGGAGATTCCTTAAAAAACTCAAAGTGGAGCTTCCCTAGTACCCCTAGGAACCCTTGGCTATCACTGCTACAGTCTGAGTTTGATGTCCCGCCAGGGAGGTGACCCACATGGCAACAGCAGACCTCTCCAGTCTCTCCCACTGCTCCCCTCAGCAGTGTATTTCAGGAGATCTGCCTGTTCTGCTCCCCACTCTGTCTCTGGTGAATCCTCTCACTCCCCCCTGCCCCGGCACCTCTGGCCTACACCCCAGTTCTTCTATAAATAAATAAATAAATAAATAAATAAATAAATAAATAAATAATTAAAAAACCCCTCAAAATGGAAATACTGTATGACCCAGCAATGCCGCTTCTAGGTATTTATGCAAACAATATGAAAAGGCTAATACAAAAAGATTTATGCACCCCTATTTCATAGTAGCATTATTCACAAGACATGGAAACAACCAAAATGCCTACTGACTATTAATAGGTGAACTCTTGCCTTTTTCAACATTACCGATGAGGTGATTATTCCAAGTGAAGTAAGTCAGAAAATGAAAGACAATTACTGGATAGTTTCACTCATTTGTGGAATATAAATAATCAAGGCAAATGAACTGGCAAGCAATTAGACATAGAATCTAAAATAATTTAGACTCCATGAAAAGTAGTTATCAGAGGGGAATGGGGAGGGGGACGAGAGGAAAGGTCAGGGAGTCAGCATGATGGTGTAAATGACACTAGATCCTGGGGGCAGGGGAGTGAAGTATACACAGATTTGGAGACACGAAGATGTGCTCCTACACTCTAGTTTTGTAAATGAATGGCCAACCAATAACATTTAAAAAACAAATTTATAAGCATGAAAAACTCATTTGATATTGCCAAGAAATGCAAATTAAAATCAGATACTGTTTTTAATCTCTAAAACGTGTGTGTGTGCGCGTGCGCGCGCGCGTGTGTATCCTAGCACTGATGGTGGCACAGGGAGGCAGAATGCTATGCTGTTATAAGTGTCAAATGGTCAACCGTCCTAAAATGTCACTTGACAATATGTATCAAATGCTTCAAAGTTGTTTATACTTAGTGACTCTAACGTTTCTCTTCTAAATGTAATTAGGATGGTGAAATGCTTTGTAAAAAGTGGTTTATTACATTATTATAGAAGTGAAAAGCCAGGGAAAAAAATCCTTAAATTTAGAGGTTTGGTTAAGTGGTACATTTATATAATGAAATATTACAAATAATAAAATTAGGTTTTCTAAGAATTTTATCACAGGGGTATCCTGTAATTTATTTGACCAATCCTCTGCTGTTCAACATCTAAATTATTTCTAGTTTCCCCAGATCTGCTCTTCCTCCTGAGTTCTTATCTTCTACTGTCCATCTAATTTCCCAAACCAGAAACCTAGGAATCGACATTTGATTCTTCTTCATTTCTCCAGCCCATCCTCTCCTACCTACCAGTCATTTAGTTCTTTTTGCGCTTCTTCGGATCCCACAGATTAAGCCCTTCTGCCCAAACTCATGCTCCGGCTCCCGCCACACTCAGAGCATCTGTTCTACTGCCTGCCAAACACCCCGAGCCCAGCAGAGTGACTGGGATATAAAGGCACAAAAGAGTGGAGGCATATTCATTCACTCAACAATGTAATGAGCGCCTAGAGAGGGCATCTCTGCCTCCCTAGCCACTCTGCCCAAATGATCTTTGTAGACACGTCAGCTCACGTGAGCACTGCCCGGTCAGCGCCTGCCACTTCACTCGCACCGGAGCGTATCTGCAGTCCCCACTTGCTAATTCATGCTCCACGCTCCTGGTGCTCCTCCATCCCTTGTGGCTTTCCATCTCTCACCACCTGGCCCATCCAACTTGTTTAATCAAGACTTACTTGTTTAAAAAAGACATCTCCTAGTTCCTCGTGTCTTTCCTGACCTGATGCCCAAGGAGAAGGCATCAGGAGATGGGGCCTTTGGGAAGTGATTGGGTCATAAGGGCAGAGCCCACAAGAATGGCTCTGGTGCCCAAGAAAGACCCCTGGCCCCTTCCCACATGAAGAGGACACCATGGAAAATGGTCATCTATGAACCAGGAAGGCCTCACCAAACACCTTGATCTTGGACTTGCCAGTTTCTGGAGAGGTGAGAAATAAATTTCTGTTGTTTATAAGCTACCCAGTCTATGGTGTTTTGTTACAGAGCCCAAAGGAACTGAGACAGAAGATACAAGGCCTGGCTTCAGCTTCAGTTCTGGTGGCTCAGAGCGGAGATCCAGGGCAAGGAACTTTCTGTTTCCGGATGGATAAACCAGGGATGCTAACAGTATTTACCTCATCGGCTATTGTGAGTATTAAATGAGATAATTTAGGTGGAGTTACCTGGTCAGCTTTAGGGGTGTTTTGTAAGCCTCCACCCCAAGGGCCGGGGCTCACATCTGATTCATTGCCATAGCCCAGCCCTGCAGCAGAGCTCCCCAGTGGCCAGCTCCTCTCAAGTTTATCTGAGGCCTTCAATGGATTCTCTCTGTTCCAGCCCTCCCTCCTCATGTCTCCCCACCTCCATGGCAATTTTTCTCTTTCTGGCAAATTCCACCTATCTTCCAAGGGTCAATTCAAGTGACAGATCCTCAGGCAAATTTCTGAGTCCCAGTGAGACCCACAGCAGACCCCAGTCCATCACTCTCCTATGTCCCTGTGTCCAGAAAGGGTGCATGTAGGGCAAGTCAGGTGGGGGTAACAGTACCCAGTAAGAAAGGTGGCTAAATAGGCAAGCTCTGTGCAGAACTGGGGAGGGGTCCCTCCTGGGTGGGCCTGCTGTGGAGTGAGAGGAAGGTGAAGCACAGCCCCTTCCCCTCTACAGAGCTTGGCAGGCCCCAACAGTTCCCCAGCCAGGGCTCCTGCCCACACATGTCTAGAGAGGAGAGGTGCAGGGGCGGCTTGGGAGGGGTAGGGAGAGCCAGGAACGGGCGAAGTTGGGGCTGTGTGT